TGATATATATTATAAATCATCTCAATTCTATTTTTAGAATTAAGGGCAGACGTACCCCGAAGCGAGGACGGCGGGGGAACTGCCTCAGCAAATCTTTGTCTTCTTTATTTTTCAGCATTTTCATTTTCAGCTTAAAAATTAAGTGATTTTAGTTTAAGCAACTTTATTGATTCGAGCATTGAATTTAGAAAGTAACTGGTACTGATTAAACTTCAGTACAATAAACACTTGTACAAGGATTTTAAAGTTACTTACTTAAGTCAAAATCCACTTGGAGTGTTTTGCACACCAAGTGTTCGATAAATTGCCTGAACCAAAACTTACTTAGTTTACTTGCTATATTTTTGGTGGGTTGTGTTGAGCATTGGTACTAGCACTACTAATTAGTGGTGAAATCAATTGACTAGTGTGACTAGTGTATTGAATCTACTATTCTTTTATTATCATATTCGTTAGCTTAATGCATATCCGATCTTCCAATAACGGTTCGTTTTAGACGTGTTTTTCCAAGGCCGCTTCCGCACTTAAACATATTTTTAAAAACCAATTTTAAATTGGTAAGCGCCAACTCAATTTTTAATTGGGATCTATTCAACCCCCCTTCTAGATCCGAGCCATCGTCTTACAACTGCCTCAACAAATCTTTGTCTCCTTTACTCTTCAGCACTTTCAATTTTGACTTAAAATTTAAGTGATTTTAGTATAAGCAGTTATATCATAAGTTGGGTTGATTTGAGTAAGTACTTATTACTGTTTTGAACTTTAGTGCAACAATATATTGCACAAGGAACTTAAAGCATCTTACTCAAGCCAAACCACACTTGGAGTGTATTGCACACCAAGTGTTTGATAAATTGCCTACATCAAAGTTTACTTAGTTCATTTGCCTACTTTGGGGCATTATAGATCATTGGTGCTAGTTCTACTAATAAGTGGTAAAATCAACTGATAATGTGACTAGTGTATTGAATCCAATTTTGCTCATTATCATTTCCATAAGGCTAGACGCATATCCGGTCTTCTAATAACAGTTCGTTCTTAGACGTAATTTTTCCACGGCCGCTTCCGCAAATTTAAAACAAATATTTTAAAAAACTAATTTTTAATTGGTAGCGCCAACTGATTTTAATTGGGATCTATTCAACCCCCCCTTCTAGATCCAAGCCATCGTCTAATAAGTGGTATCAAGAGCACCGGTTCACTCCGTGCTTCGAGTATAACTTTGATAGAAAATGGCGAACGAACCTAACGGGGCTTATAATAGAGCTCCTATTTTTAATGGAGAAAATTATAGTTATTGGAAGGACTGTATGCGGGTGCACATAAATTCCATAGATAGAAAAGTATAGAATGTTATTATCAATGGTCCAATGGAAATAACCATGACTAATGAAAATAATGAGATTGTGCCTAATCCCGAAGCACAATGGACGAATGATGATGAAAAGAAATACAAATATGATTGGAAAGCCAAGAATATTTTGATCTCCTCGTTAGGAGTTGATGAATATTATCGGGTTTCTCATTGTCTTACGGCAAAAGCTATGTGGGATTCACTTCAAGTCGCCCATGAGGGGACAAATGATATGAAGCTTGCTAGAATCAACACACTAACACAAGAGTTTGATCTCTTTTACATGGAGCAAGGGGAAACCATTGCGGACATGCAAAAGAGATTTACTCATCTTATCAATAGATTGCATTCACTTGGTAGGCCAGTGGCCAATGATGTTGCTACTAACAAAATTTTGAAATGTCTTAACAGGGAATGGCATCCAAAAGTGACCGCCATCAAAGAAGCAAATGACCTTATAATTTTGGACTTAATGACATTATTCGGAAAGCTGCAAGAGCACGAACAAGTGCTCCTAAGCCTCGACCAACATGAAAAGAAAGAAAAGAAGGACAAAACAAAGACTGTTGAGAAGAAATCCATTGCTCTCAAGACTTCCTCCTTGAAGTCTCAATCTAAGGAGCACAATGATTATTCATCAAGTGACGATGAAGAAGATGACAAGAGTGAGGATATAGGGTTGTTCATAAAGTGCTACAATCGATATATGAAAAAGAACAACATTCAACACTCACAAAAGAACCTTGTCAACTTCCGAAAGCAATCAAGGAACTCTCGAAATAATGACACCAAAGGAAGTAAAACCAGAGGATCGTGCTACAAATGCAGAAAGCCCGGACATTACAAACCGGATAGTCCTTTAAACAAAAAGGGCAGAGAAAAGGAATCTATTAAATCACATAAGAAGTCATCAAAGCCGAGAAGAGCATATATAGCTTGGAAAAGCGATAACGACTCCTCCTCTGATGATGAAAGCTCAAGTGATGAAGAAGAATTCATGAACTTATGTCTTTCCACACACCAAAAGAATAAGAAAAAACAGGTGCGTCACTCTAAATATGAAAACTCCTCAAATATGTCTCATTTTGAATTACAAGCCGCATTTAATACTTTACACGATAAAGCAAAAGAAGCCTTTAAGAGACTTGCCTCTAACAAAAGAATTTTTACTTACCTAGTGTTGCACCCTAATTTTTGACTTTAAGATTCCACCTCCTTTTGCATTTTATTCCGTGTTTTATTTTTACTTTTGTGTGTATGCTTATTATGGCTAACCAGCTCGTACAGGTGTATTAAAATCCAGTGGAGGTGGCACTCCTAGTCCAATCCTTTCGGACTTGGTCATTTGGGTTCTTATTCAAGTTGTTCCTAAAGTTTCAAGTTGAGTTGGGCCACTTTCATAACTATCTCATGGTCATAAATTTGAGTATGACAAAGTAAATCCAAGATGACAAGTTTATGCTTATGGAGATTTCATCATTCAAGTAGTCAAGGCTCAAGGGCAAGGAGATATTCATGTGGTTTTATCAAATATTGATTCAAAATACAAAGAGTTGATTTTTATCAAAGTCCATAACAAAGTTCACAGGTTGGATTGGATTCGAGTTGTTTTATTTGGCTTCAAAGATCAAAAGAAAGTCCATAATATGATGACATGATTAAGAAGAATTCAAGCTCTTCAAGTCACAAGAAATTTTAATACGGTCCAGGGGCTAGTTGCGTTGCAATTTGATTCAAGACCAAAAGAAAATACATTAGATTTTACAAGGAATCTTATTATAAATGGCAACCCCTCACGCCCGTGATAACTAAGTGAAAACCGGTAGGATATGTCATGATATTTACGGTATACTGGAACCTAAAGAAATCTGTGGAAATAATAATGACAAGTTGGATAAGTAACATTATAAGTCAGGTTGTTAATTACTAAAATCAAGCTGACGTGAATTACAAATTCCGAATTACAACATGTTTTGCCCATGTTTAATTTACAGTATGTTACAAGGATGTTGTTTATAAAGCATGCTGTTGTGGATCAGGAAGAGCAATTTAGAGACAGGAATCCTTTAATCATCCGACTTACGACATTACAGCTTCATCTGATGGAAGCATACACATGGACTGCTGTTCTTTTTCACAAGGGGAGATCTAGCCTGTATAGAGGAAGCACCAAATGAGGGCATAGTTTGTGTTACGACACCAGACTCCGGCACGCCCCTCCTGCTAGAGTTTCTCGATCCTGCAGTACATGAGGATTTGCTTAGAAGTTATGCAAGAATGCGGTTATGGTCATAAATGCACATTTCAAGTTTTACGGTCAATATACCTTGCCACCCTTGTCTAAGAAGGTATATATAGACAACTTCATATTAACTCACAGCTCGGAGGAATTTGCGGTTGACACTCGAAACTTCCATCCCCTGCATAAAAGAACTTAGTCATACAAAATATAGTTCGAAGCGAATAACAGGATGATGTCCTTTAAACAGCAGTTCAAAACGAGGAATTTAAATAAAAGAGGAAAGACCATGTATAAGCAGTGCATTATCACCAATATCGGACAGTATGAACAGACCTTGTCCACTATTTATGGTTGCCGCAAGTTTCCGCAACACAACCAAACCAATGCAATGTCAAATCTGTTCCACCTATAGTCCATCTAATCTTGACTTTTGTGCCAACTGCTTGAAACAACCTGCAATATCAATATGCCCATTCACTTCATTTGCAGACCAAAACTCACGCATATGCAAGCAGCAGCAGCACATCAGCCGCCGACATCATCTGTAAACAAACAACAATATCACCACGCGATACACACATTGAAAGAGAAGGGGTAGAAAAACATGATAAATCACAACAGATCATAACACGAAAGATGTTTCAGGCTATTCTCACCTAAACATTCACAACAGAAATTCACAAAGGCCACCGCATCAGCAAGAAAATTGTGATTCCTCCATATTTGAAGCATCAAAATTCGATTCACATATTCTTGGCACCAATTCAAATCCTCCATTAACTAGTTCAAAGGTTTCTCCCGCGGGCAATTCGAAGAGAATTTTCTCCTGCAGTGACTACACTCCAAAGTGACAATTCTTCCTGAAAGTCAAGGTGCCAAATGAAAGGTGCAGTCTGTGATAAAATGCAATCAAAGTATTCAACCGTCAGTTTTGGATTAAAATCTCGGTAATTGCATCAAATCAATACAATTGCACAGGATCAGGATTTAATAGCAGTAATGCATACCATTAGCTTTTACCGGAAATTGGTCGATGAACCATTGCAGAAGTTGTTTGAACGAGTTCCAAAGTAAATTCTACCCCATTTTCCCAGCTGCTGCAAATAAATCACTAAGCCAAGTCACAACATTATCAATTGAGCCCAACCATGATACAGTATGTTAAATTAAATAGCCAACCTTCAGTATTAGTTACAAGCAATGTGATTAAATACCACCAAAAGCGACCTGTCAAAACCAACAGCAATGTTAAAAGAAGGTTATCAAAGCTACATGGGAAACCAATGAACAATAACACCTCTAAATGGAGTTACCGTCGACTCCCTACTCCAACTGCTACACAACTCCCTCCCTCTCCCTCTCTCTCATCACTGAATTCTTCTTTCGCATCTTCAAGCTCCGTCCATGGCTTCTAGATCGTCTGGTCGCGGTAACCCCGATTCTAAAGGCTTTGATTTTGCTTCTGATGACATCTTATGCTCCTACGAAGACTTTTCCAACAGGGATTCCAATTCCAATGGCAATCACAACGATTCTATAATCGCCCCTACTTCAACCACAGATTTTCACAAATCAAGGGTAGCAAGGACATCTGTTTTTCCTGTTACTGCCTATAATCCACTTGAAGATTCTTTAAGCCAAGATGTGATTGCAACTGTAGAGAAGAGTATGAAGAAATATGCTGACAACCTCATGCGATTTCTCGAGGGAATTAGTTCAAGGCTCTCACAGTTGGAGTTATATTGCTACAATCTTGACAAATCTATTGGAGAAATGAGATCTGATTTAAATCGCAACCACAGGGAGAAAGATTTAAAGCTCAAATATCTTGAAAATCATCTTCAGGAAGTTCACCGGTCAGTACAAATTTTAAGAGACAAGCAAGAGTTAGCTGAGACTAAAAAAGAACTAGCCAAGCTTCAACCTGCTCAGAAGGAATCTCCTTCCTCAAGCCATTCACAGTCCAATGAGGACAGATCACCTTCTGCAGATCCTAAAAAAACTGATAATGCATCTGATGCGAACAACCATCAGTTAGCTCTTGCCCTTCCTCATCAAAGTACTCCTCAGCAGCAGCCTGCAGGATCCCCATCCCAAGTTCCTTCGCATCAAATTATGAAGATATGAAAACCTACTTATTTCTGCCGATAATTCGGGAGGTTACCCTGTAGATCATTCTTCTCTATTTTGTAAACACCAATGTTCGAGCTCATCTCCAGGCATATCCAATGTTAGGCCATCTGGAAGTATCTCCGATAAATCATCATCTGCAGCAGTCGAAATAACTGACCAAAATCAAAAACAGATAAGAGAGGATAAGTCAAAAATGGAAGGTTTTGCTTCTTCCCATAACAGTCCTAACACGTCTGTCTCAGAAGGGAAGCAATTCAATGCGAATCAAAACAGACACGAAACGAAAACGGAAACTCTTGGAGCAAAGACACAAGTGTTAAAATCACCTTCCAAACACGATCCCTCTGATATGGAAACTTCATTATGCCTCTTCAATCCGCATTACTCCCCACAGCCGTATAAGAAACCGAACAGATGAAAGAAAAATCAATGAAAAAAACGCACAACATTTAACCACACCAGTAATCCACAAATTAGTTCGCAGAAAAAACCAACAAATCACAAAATCCCCAAATAAAACCCTAAGCTCAAAGTGAGAACTTATCTTGTTGAAAATCCCGCTGCGAGGTCACCCCCAAACACCTTCGCAAGCCGCCACGCGCATCAACGTCTCCATAAAATGTCACCGCGAATCCACCGTCGGCGAAGCCATAGTCGTCATTAGCGCACCGCATTCGCAATCTGGGCATTTCCTTGATCATGGGTAACGGATCCTTGAGCGGTGTTTTCGTTTTGTGATTTGATTTTTGCCTTGTGGTTTTTCTTTGCTAGGTTTATGGACAATGGAAGAAGGAGCAATAGAAGAAGGCGAGAAAGACGATGCAGGTGGGAGAAGGGAGCGGCGGAACATCGTCGACAGGGACAATTGAAGAAGGAGCAATGACGGAGACGGAGAAGCGAACGCGAATTAGGATTAGGGTTATTCGTTCATTTTTCAATTTTTGTTTACCTTGTAATCCAGTGACTGCACACACACACGCATACGGTGCACCTCACGCACACACACCCATGGATCTCCAACGGATCCAATCACATGGCCAATAATTTGCTTGACCACCTTAAGCACACGCGAACCGTATCACACAACCATGCACCCCCTTTAACCACCGTTAACTCCACTAATCAGCTTTCTTTTCTTTAATCAATCATTAATCTAAAAGAAAAAATCCTTTAATTAATCATCTTATTAATTAATTAATTTAACCTTAATCAAACCCCCCTTTTTATAAAATTAAGTTAATGCCTTTTTAATTAATCTATTCTTTAATAATTTAATTAACAATTAATCAGCCCTTTTATTAAGACAACAAATAACTTTTAATTAATTATATTTCTAACTAATTAGCAATTATTTAAATAACTATCCTCTTTTCTATTTTATCATTTTACTTTTAATAAATCGTTTTTTTTATTTATACCTATTTTATTCCACCAACATTAATAACCTCTTATTAAAATTAATTCATAAATTAAGTAATTTGTTCATATCCTAAAAAACTCATTTCATTATATTAATATTCATTATCTATTTAAAATTATTGTTATTTAGAAAATCTAAGTAATTCTCAATCTTAAAATTTCACTTAATAACTCTTTTAAATAATTTATAACTTGTTCTTTTTTTCATAATAAAACTTTTTTTATAATTTATTAATTTGTATTCATTTAATAATAATAACTAAAAAAACTCTTTTATGAAAAAACCCCCTTTCTTAATTTAAATTAACCTTTTAAATAACAACTTTTATTTTAAAAAAAAAACCATTTCACATTTAAATTAAATTTTATTTAATAAGAATAAAACCTCTTAGACATTTTAGATCCCCTTTTTTTAAACCATTCTTTAAAATTTAATTAATCGTCTAAACTTTTTTTATCAAAGAACAAAACTAATATAATTCCTCTTAAAACAATCTCATCAAAAAATAATATAACTTCTAAAATCATCTCACCTAAATCAACTCAACATCCCCCTTAAAATCAATTCAACTAAAAATGAATCAACTTCGCATAAAATCAATCGTGCACACTCACATTCACGACACATCCACTCTCACACACTTTAGCGCTTTCATGCGTATGTGTATGTTTACTTATTTGCCCTTTATTATTCCCACAATTTATTTTACAGCCTTTACATTACTGTAATTTATATTATCGCCTTGCATCCGTCCAAAGGAAAAACCTACACATGAGTCAACACTTGTGTGTAGTGCATCCCATTTGCATCATTCTCCCGCTTGATCCTTGATCCCATTCAAGTTGATCAATTAAGATAGATCCTACCCCATAGGAAGAACCTTTATCTTTTACAACTTAGAGAAAAACAAACTCAATCAACACTACAACAAATATTTAAACACATTAGAGAAAGATGCCAAATCATCTTAAGCGAGATAGAATCTCCACCCCACAACAATATAATCAATACCATAAGGACTTTGCCTTAAGAGAGATAGAGACGTACCTCATCGATCCATATTTGAGTACTTGAGCCCTTCTCTTAAGATGATGCAAAGACTATTTTCCTACAACTTGTGGCGGTTAAATCTCCCTTAAAATGACAACGCACCTCTTCTCCTAAAATCAATCAATCAACTACCCTAAACTCGTAGGAACATTGACCACAATCAAAGATCTCTTCAAACCCTTTAGGGGAACTACAAATACTCTGATTCCACTCCCGTAAGGATATGTAGGCATAAGATGCGATATCTTATCGAGTATACTTAGAAATAAACCCCTAGGCCTTTCAATCCTTAAGCAGATAAGCCTTAGCAATAAACAAACATAAAACAAGAGGTTCCTGTAGAGTACTACAGAAACTTAGGATGCTAGCATCTTCCCTAAGTTTAACCAACCATCGAACCTATAACTCTCTAGCTTACATTTGCATTGCATTGTGGGAATTTCGATCTTTATCCCTTCCTTTGGACAAATCAAAGTTCGGTTGCAAATTGAATTAAAGATTCAAACTAATTAATAGTTTGGTATCCAAATTTCACCGTGACACCTAGAGCACAAAATTAAAGAGTCCGAAAGGAAACTTGGGGAACTTAAGACTTCCATGGTGGAAAGCAATAAATTGGATTGTGAGGATCTTAGAAGCAGATTCCTCAACTTTGGATGCGATACTTGTTATATTTGGCAAGGTGAAGTTAGAAACCTAAAGGCAAAACTTAACAAGACTCTTGATCCCAAAATTACATTTGCTATCAATAAAGCTGATTTTAGAAAAGTATGGTGAATCCATATCAAAAATACAAATATGTAATAAGGGATCAAGAGAGCAAAGGCAATTCTGAAGTTGACTTCTCATGCTTATATTGTTGCAAGAAAGGCCATTCCATTGCTAAGTGCCGATTTAGGAGATTTTTGGTTCCTAAAGGCATCTATCAATGGTTACCCAAATGCAACCACTTTGTCACTCACAAATTAGGACCCAATATGCCATTGGGTACCTCCTCTTGTTGATTATTTTTTCATAGGTAATATGTGTCGAGACCATCGAGAGAAGATGGGTTTTCGACAGTGGATGTTCAAGACACATGTCCGGAGACATATACCTATTCATCGGCTTCGTGGCAAAGAAGAAAGGGTATGTAACCTATGGTGACAATAATCGTGGTGCAATACTTGGTAAAGGTAGTGTAGATAACCCTTCTTCCACTACTATTTCTGATGTGTTGCTTGTCGACGGTCTCTAACATAATCTACTTAGCAATAGCCAATTATGCGACAAAGGATACAATGTATCTTTTTCAAAAGAGTGTTGCAAAATTGTGCATAATGATGACAAGAAGAATATGTTCAATGGCCTAAGAGTGAACAACGTCTATATTCTAGACTTGAATGAGGTATCGTTAACAAGTGACAAATGTCTCATAACAATGAGTGAAGACTCATGGTTATGGCATAGGCGTTTAGCACATGTTAACTTTGACTTGCTAAATAAAGTAGTTTCAAAAGATCTAGTCTTAGGTCTCCCCAAAATAAAATTTACCAAGGATCACCTTTGTGATGCTTGCCAAATGGGAAAGCAAACGAGAATCTCTTTTAAATCCAAAAAATATTGTCTCAACTACGAGACCTCTCGAGCTTCTCCATATGGACTTATTTGGGCCATATAGAATTAAAAGCCTAGGTGGAAACTATTACGGTTTTGTAATAGTGGATGACTTATCTAGATTCTGTTGGACTATCTTTTTGGCTAGCAAGAGCGATACATTTGCCGCCTTTGAGATATTTGCCAAACTTTCCCAAATAAATTAAGCACAAACATTGTGTCAGTTAGAAGTGATCATGGAGGTGAGTTTGAAAACCATTTGTTTGAAGAATATTGCGGTAATTACGGTATTGGTCATAACTTCTCCGCTCCACAGACTCCTCAATAAAATGGGGTGGTGGAGCGTAAAAATCGCATTTTAGAAGAGTTGGAAAGAACAATGATCAATGAAAGTGGACTACTGAAATATTTTTGGGCCGACGCCATAAGTACAGCTTGTTATGTTTTGAATAGGGTGCTCATCCGCTCCATTCTAAACAAAACGCCTTACGAGCTTTTGAAAGGGCGCAAGCCAAACGTGTCTCACCTACATGTTTTCAGTTGCAATTGTTTTGTCTTAAATAATGGAAAGGAAAATTTGGGTAAATTTGACTCTAAGGCTGACGAAGATATTTTCCTTGGATACTCTCAGTCGAGTAAAGCCTATAGAATCTACAATAAAAGATTACGTACTATCAAAGAATTAGTGCATGTAACATTTGATGAATCTTATCTGAGAAATGTCGGAAAAGGTAGTGTTTTTCATGGCGCAGGGACATCTACAGAAGACATACTCAAAGATGTCGAGCTAGGAATTGATCAGCCTGACCAAGCTAAAATTGAGAAGGAAAAAGATGTCCACTATAAGGAATCCGAGGAAGTTCATCCGCCTCCAAAAGATGATCTCCCTCAAGCTTAGAAGTCTTCCAAAGACCATCCAATTGACAAC